TTTTCTTCTTGGGCCCCGAGCCCACGGGGTTCACACCCCATCAGCTAATGTTATCAACTAGCTATACCCTCTAATTAACACAATCAGTTAACAGCTAACAGCCATGTACCAAACAGGGCCTTAATCTATTTGACTAAGCATTTAATAAAAATGTAGTGTGCAAGGGAGCAGGTTGGTGTGTGCAAATTACTGAGTGATGATATCATGCAGCATTATTTTTTTTTTTCGGATGAAAGGGTGACTATTGACAACATTTCATCTGTACTATTTTTTTTTTCTTAGACTAAGTTGGGTTATACAAATGAAATGAAAAAGTTTATTCATTCATTAATTAAAATATGCGCATCGTGCTAGAACATCAAAACCGAAAGAATATTCTAAAGTGATATGTATATAATGTTTGTAGATGCAAGTATGACAACATTAGTAACACGTCTTGATCTTCAGCGAGCACGCACTACAACATTGACATTCGATGGTCGATGTGTGTTGCTATGAAACATTAGAATTTCATACATGTAGCACACACGCAATGCTAGCAAGGCCCGTGCATCCCCCACACCCCCTATTCGGGCCGCAATCCCACGCAATGTGACGCATTGCAAACACCCATAGTCTAATTTGTTTTTAGTATCGCGCCATGATATGCGGAGCCTCCTAGGGATTAACTATAATACCTTCAAATAAAGTTCTGGAGACCCAGCATCCTAAAAAAAATGATGCGAAATCTCCCACAACATAAAGCGCACACGCCATAACACTACTAACACTGCAATGCATACAGCACTGTTAGATTACATTTTCAAATACAACAGTAAAACCAACATGAAGAATCTCACAAACCAGGTGCACTTAGAATTATTTCTTTAAAAAAAAAAAACCCAACTTACGGATTTAAATTACCCACATCAAGAGCTCATTTAGATTGCGCATTGTGTAATGTAGATTGGAGAACTCAATTCCCGAACGCAACTGTTACGCATCTACCAATGATTAGCTTAGACCATGTGTGACAACCCAAAATTTAATTTTATAAATTCGGTTTTAAGAAATTCCAAAATAGTCATTTTCCACTCTATAAAATTTTTTGCGATAAAAGCGGTGTTTGAATAAATTATTTTGAGCCACTTTTAAATAAATTCAACACAGTGACATATTTTAAATAAAAAATCCTAGATTTTGGATACATCCGCGTATCAAGTTTTTAATCCCAAGAGTCAATCTGAGTGAAACCGTGAGAAATCTGAGGAACCTAAATTAAGTGGATGTCTAGAAAGTATTTTTGGAAAAATGCATTTTGACCCCAAAAACTATTTTAAACTATGATTCTAGACTTGGTCCACGAAGCTTGGTGGACCACAAGCATACAAACACCTTGTCTGATTTAATCTTTTAGCCAAGCTTTTACCTTTCTACCCTCCGCCAACCATTGTGTATCTTCCTAGGGTTTGAACTCATATAAAAGGAATAGTAAGCCTTTGTTTTTTCTTGATTCCATTCTTCGCTTCCCCCAACCTTGAGCTCTGCAAGAACAAAGGGAAATCACAGTAAGTTTCGTAGCTCATCTTAGCCTTTCATTTCTTCTAGCTTTCCTTCCTAGCTTCCATCTCTGAGAACTTAGTCTTAAGGTTGTTGTATGGTTTGTTTGAGATGTTTAGGAGGTGAAAGAAGGTGTAGCTAGCTTAGGAAGAAGGTGGCATCCCAACAAAAAGGAGGAATCTACAAAGGTATAACCCCATAGACTCCCATAAGCTTATTTTGGACTTTGTTCTATTTAGTGGTTGAAATGCTTAGAAATGCTAGAATTTGGTTGTGTATGATAGGGATGATTGGATCTCCCACGATAGGCCTGAGAAATCCACCTTGAATGGTGAGAAAAAGTTGTTAGTCTTGTTGATAGAGGAGTGTTTGTTCCTGTGTAGGAACAATTCCAATGAGATTGGTAGTTAGACCTGCACCATAGCATTTTTCCTGAGATTTGCATATGAGATAAATTTACCAGCTTTGATGCTCAAACACATGTCTTATTTCAAGACAAGGAACAAGAAACATGTTGGTCCCGGTAAGGTTATAGCGAGAGTCTAGAGGGGGGGGGGGGGTGAATAGACTCTTTTCGTATTTTGCCGAATAACAACCTTTCGGTGTTATGGCGTAGCGGAAATGTTGAATTCATTTTACTTGCTTTGCACGGTTTGACGTTATTTAGAGAACTTTCGATTTGGGCGCAAAAGATAGTATGATGCATAAAGTAAATAGAGTAAGTAAAGAGATAAGGAGACGAGGGATTTTATAGTGGTTCGGCCAACTTTGCCTACTCCACTCTTCTTCCACAACTTGTGAAAGGTTTGCACTATCACTCGTTAGTACAAATGCACACGAAGCTTCCTTGATCACTAAGCTGGACAGCTTCCTGCAGGTTTTTCAACTCCACGAGTTTACTCCGCCTCTATATACTTTTTCTTCAGAGTTGAGGTTGGTAGAAAATGAATTCTGATTTTTCCAACGTGGTGAAATCTTGACTGATGAAAGATGGTTGCTTCGTACAAGTTGCAAGACTTCTTCAAGGTGTAAGATGAGGATTAATGGACTTCTTCAAGAATCTTCACACCTTAACACTGGTTCGCAAAAGCTTGATGAGAACTGGGAAGGTTTAAGAGCTTTTGCTTGATAGATAGATCGAGTGATAAGAACCAGCACCTTCTTAGTTGATGAAGGTGGGTTTATATAGGTGAGGAAAATTTCATCCATTGGAGGGAGATGAATTTTCAAACCTATTGTCCAGTGAGTAAGGACCGGGGAGCTTCCCGCATTAAATGCTCCATTAATGAGGTTTGTACCTTGTAGCCGCTGATGCCAAGGAAAGCCTTAGGGTTTTGTCCTTTAGCTTCAGGAAATAGTAAATCTTCATTTAATGCTCCTTGGTATGCGTGTCCCATATGTTGAGGTCCCTTTGCTCCTAGGATGTTGTAAAGTCAGACAGTGGAGACATTCTTCTTGCTATTGAAGGGGAATAATGTCTTGAAGAATCGTCATAAATAAGACTGTCCTTTCGAGGTAGATGACAACACCTGGTAAACTTTCGTTGTAGATGCTTCATGCTTCGTGTCTTCTTTTCGTCTTGATAACCCTAACATCTAAGCACAACTCGTCTTTGTGTGTTTGACTAGCTTAACACGAATTACATGTGAGTTATGGCAACTCTCGCCTAGGACGAAAGCCGCGATAAAAAATAATAAAAGTTAGGGGTCTACAATCTAGGTTACATTGGTATCATCAAAATCCTAATACAAGTGTTCCTAACAATTTCCCCCTTTTTGATGATGCCAAAAAACCTATACTCTTCTCATAAGGCTGACAAACGTCCTTTAAAGGATTTTCTATTACAAGACAGCCATTATTGAGAGTTTACAAGACTTTTCTAGATAAGTGCAAATAACAGTAAGACAATGACAAGTGACTCAGACGAGATGTGTAACAACGAGAGCTTCATATAAAGATAGAGAACATTACAAAAACTTTTAAGAAAGGCATAAAAGAAAAGAATCTTACAAATCTAGAAGTTTCGACTTCTATAGCTTGGCTTCTTCACGTTCACGAATGTCCCTCTCTTTTTGCTGTTTGAGCATTCTATCAGTGTCAATCTCCTCATTGATTCGTTCTCTGAAGATCTTGATTGGATTCGTCTTGACTAGATCTTCGTGTTTTCCTTTGATGTTGAGACTTATGTAATTGTTGTAAGCCTCACGAATGTTTTCTCCTTCAATTATTCCTGCCTTCCACCATGAGATGAGTTCAAAGGAATTCATTCCTTCTCTGTAGCTCTTTCCAGACTCAGCATGCACTTTGAAAGCTGCATTGTAGATAACACCATGCTCAGAATTTTTGGTTACTTTCGTGAGATCTTCAATTAGCTTGTTTACTCTATCTCTTTCCTGCAGTTCATGCTCTCTTTTTCGGGCTTCGTCTTCATGTTTCTCCCATAGTTCTCTGTTCTGTTTCTTGATTCTTTCGTTTTGGGTGCTTATATGATGTTGCCTTGTGTGATTGTCCTTTGTCTTCAGCCAGATAAGAACATTGCAACCCTCAAAACGTTTTCCACTTCCTTCTTCATAAGGTTTAAACTCTACAAAGTTTCCTACACCATCCATTGTTATCTTCTTGTCCTTCATGAGCTTTTGCCTTAGATTCGTATTTTCTCTCTTGGAGAGCCCACTGAATACGAACTTGGATTCAGAGTCATAGGATTGGCGAGGCTTGATAGGGTATGATCTGGGTTGTGAAGATTTGTGATCACGATTCGAGTGATGTCTTGATTGTGAAGGATGGTGGCTACGAGACTTAGATGGTGGATGGGATGGCTTCATGTTCCTTTGTTCAGAGCCTCGTGGTGCATGAGATGGGGAGCGTTCTCTCGTGTTATCCCTAGGATGATCATGATGATCATCATCTTTGTCATCATGGTTCCTCTTTTCTCCCTTTTTGGCATCATCGGCACAGGCAGTAGGAGGTGGAGTAGATAGCTTATTGACTGCAGTCAAGGTATCTTGCACATACCCAAGAATTTGAAGCACGTACTGGGCCAGTTGGTATGTATTTTCATGTGCAGTCTCTATTTTTGAGCAAGCTAAGTCAACGCGCTCCTTAAGGCTGTAGTACAAGTGCTTAAGCTCGTGTTATTGACGTGCCACTTTGTTGACAGAGGAATGAAGTTCATGAAGTTGCTTTGACAATTGCTCATCGAATTGCTGGTCAGGTTGAGCTTGTGGTGGAGGTTGAGGCGATGCTTGTGGTAGAGGACGAGACTGAGCTTGGGCAGCCATCAGTTGATCCACCTTCTTGGATAAATCCTCCATTACTTTGGTGTCCCTTTGCCGAAGAGTTAAGTATTGCTGATGTGTAAGTTCGGCAGCATGAACCGTGTCCCTCATGAGATTCATGATGTTTCTTGGGGACAACGGTGGAGAGTCATCTTCAATATTCGTTGGTGAAGTGTTCATCTATTATTCTTGAAGTGGTGCATCCTTTTTGCCACCACTTGTTGAGCTAAGAAAGATTGGTGAGGCTTCCAATTTGCCCTCACGTGCAATTGCTTCTTCTCGTTTGATTGGAGTTTCGTCCATGGGTTGAACATGTGGGACGATAGCACGAGACAGATCCTCAAGATGATCATTTGAAACGTCTCCAGGTTGATGTGATGCTTCCCTTTTGTCATCACTGTTGGAGGATGATTCTTGAGATGGAGATCCTTCAGGAACTACTTCATTGTAATCCGGACCGACCAAGAGAGGAGATTCACTGTCATAGTCCGGGTCAGCCCTGTTGTTATCATTTCCCGAATCATCATCGTCGTCGTGATCATCATTCTCATCATCTGCATCCTCATCATCGTCACTTTCGTCTTCATCTTCGTCAGCTTTTTCACTTTTGTCTTCATCATTCTTTTCGTCCTCTTTGGCCGTGTCAATCTCTCGGCCATGCTCATCCTTCGAGCCATTGACAGTACAGTTGGGATCATTTTGGTGTTCTTTCTCCAGGATGGTTTTGACTTTGGATATTAACATGGCATAGCGAACTATCTTCATTTCTTCCACAAATGCTGGGTCTGAGGGAGGTTTGTTAAGCTCGATACAGACCGCCGGAGCCTTATCCTTTCCAAGAGAGCGATTGGTCATTTTGTAAGATAACACTCGTCTTATTGTCTCAAGGCGCAGTGCTTCATAGACATCCTTCGTGCCAATCCACTCTAATGCAAACTTCTCTTCATCCTTCATGGCTTCAAAGGTCTCGATGAAAGTTTCCAGAGGGGCTGTGCACCATTTTTTCCATTGCAACACCCTGTTGTAGTCATTCTCAATTGACTCCCTAAGTAATTGATCTCTTGTTGGTGGCCTCGGTGTAGCTTCGGGAACAGATGCCGGTGCTTTTGGGATAGCAGGAGTTAAAGCTGTTACAATCACAGTCTCGTCTACCAACGCAGGTTCTTGTGTCAGAGTATTCATTACCTGCTCTGCACTGGTAGGTTCTTGTGGGAGAGATGGAATATCAGTCACTTCATCAATCACTTCTTTCGTCTTTGCTGGCGAGCCAGGTTCTTGTGGAAGACTTAAGTGATCGGCCTCCGTTTCCATAGCAGCAGGTTCTTGTGTCGAACGTGGGAGATTTCGCTCTGCTGAAATGGGTTCTTATGGTTGAAGGTCTTGAGGAGAGCTTGGGCCAACATCGGCCAGGTTCTTGTTATTGATACCAGTCTGACCTTCCCCCTGAGAAGGTGCTTCTTTCGTGTTTTCTTCCCCCCGTGAGGGTGCGTCTTTCGTTTGATCATCTTCCTTCGTGGAGAGAGTTGAGCCAGCTTTTGATTTGACAGGAGAACGAAAGCGCCCTGTTTTCCCGATAGTGGACAAAACCAAGTTATCTTCATCTGATGAATCTTCCACGATAACTGGATCTGGAGTTGGAATAGGTGCAGTAGGAATTGTCTTTTCTGCTGGAGTCCTTGGAGGTGAGGGGATGGGTGCTTTACCAACGTCCTTTTTCGTCTTAGCCCGAGACGAGCTCTTCCCTTTCTTATGTCGTTTCGGCTCTGGTTGATCATCTTCTGATTCTTTCAGTGTTCTTGACTTTCGTTTGGATTTGACCATCTCTAAAGGAATTCCCAACTCCAAGGCTTTTTATCTGTCATAGCCGGAGGGCTTTTGCTTCATGTGACAGGCCTTTGGTCCTGACCGAATTCCTGGTCTCATAAGAACATCTTTTGTGACAAGAAGATGACTAACCAAGAATCCGTAGCCCATTTTCTTCGTGATGTCACCAGGACATTTTCTGTTGAGAGTGATGGCATGGACAAGATTGTTGAAGATAACTTTTGACCAATCGACCTTGTGTTCGTTAAGGAATGCATGTAGCATTTTGAGCTTCTCTTTTGTGACATCGTCTGTTCCAGATGTTTTGTGATCAACTATTTTGTTGAAGATGTCAACAGTGAATTCGTAGTTCAGACGAAACCATTTTTTCTTCAAAGGACACGTTATCTCCGTCTTCGAGGGTGCATGGTTTTTCTTGATAGATTCATAAAACTCACTTGGGTCATAATGGTAGAAAGAAAAGTTGGGCTTGTACGTCTCGTCCCTCTGAGGAAACTCATATGCGGCTCGAATGTCTTCTGATGTGATAATCACTTGATGATTGTGGACTCTAGAGGTGATGGTTAGTGTATCCGAAGAAACAATTGCATTCATATAAAATTGTGCAACATCAGTAGGATACCAGAGAGTATATAAGTGAGTGATAAACCTGTATAAACCAGTTTCCGTGAGCAGAGCGATGATTCTTTCTCCAAATTCTCGATCAAGAACGTATTCTAGGAACCCATGTGCATCCCACATGCTTCCACCGGCGATAAGTGGAGCCCTGGATTCGATAAAGTTCACATCTTCCATGGGGAAGGTAGGTATTTCTATGGTGGTTGGGGTTTCTGGTTCGGTGTCGGAGGGGGTAGCTTGGGATTTCTTTGCCATTTTGAAATATTATGAGAAAACAAGTATGCCAGGAGGGTTTTGAGACGGAGGGTGAATGGAAAAGGTGAAGTATGGAAGGGAGAGGGTTTTTGTAGGGTTTCTCTGGTTCCCGGGTGTTCAACTATGGGTGACCCATTTCAGTGGTGGGTGGTTTGAATTTCAAACTTTCAACCGGTTCAATTCTTCAAAAGGTAACGGATCTGGTTATTGGAATATGATAAGATCACGCTCAGATCAGTTTTGATCATTCCATATTAAATGTGGAGAGAGAAATCCACTCAAGTGCCTGCATATGCATTAAATGCACATCAATTCTTCTGTCAGAGATCGTGGGGTAGTGGACCATTTTTCTCAGCCACACGATCCCCATGATGAAACGTTTTAACGGTTCAGATGATTCATTTAATATGAAGCTTCTTAAGTACGACTGAAAACCGAAACAAGATAAACTTCACTTAACGAAAGATTTGTAAGACAAATAAAGTCCAACAAACCTATACAGAACATACAACGAGACTTTATAAGATAACTCGAGAGATGTCTTATTACACGAGACAAAGATATTGAGCACTGTCGCTACATCTCTCAAAGCTTCACGAGTTTTCATTCCCCGGCATTTTTCTTCTGTTGAGCATAATCAAGGTGTTCCATAGCGTCTTTTGAAAGACCTCGCCTTTCCATGTCTACCAGTTCAGCCTTAACCCGACCCTCAGCAGAGTCGTAAATAGCTATGCATTTTTCATCATTTTTAAGATGAGGCGTAATCTTTACAAACGAGAGAAACTCAGAAAGGCTTGAGACTTTGATGGGTCCATCAGCTGAGGATGAACCTTTCAGCAACGAATTCTCTGGTACATGGCGAAGAGCATTCTTGGATGTAACTTTTTCAGACAAGCTCTCGGTTGTGAGAGCCATTTCTTTTCCCTTGTCCATGATGATATAGGTTGTGAAGAATGAAGCCATGTTTCCCGAGAATGTCATTTATATAGAGTATAAGACTTTATCAAAAGGTGTTACCCGAATGACTACTCATGAACACGAATAGCACTCGTGAAGGAATATATGCATTTCCAAGAAAGATAGTCCTAGTCATTGGTATTCCATGGTAGGTGTGAACAGAAACAACTAAAGTTTCGTTCATCACTTAATTAAGGTTAAACTAAAATCATTGAAACCAAGATTTTATTATTCATCCAAACGAGAGAAACAGATACAGAGAATAAGATACATAATCCAAAAGATTAGTTTGTCTTCCTCACGTTTCCCTCATCCTCATGAGTCTCAGTTTTCGGCTTCTTGAGTTCTGCCCACATTCTTTTGTACCATTTTCCGGTACGCAGAAAGCTAGAGTCCGAAGACGAAGTGGGTTCTGCTTTATTCTCATATTTGGTTTCTGCATTGAGATAATTGGCATAATCTTTGTCATAATGCTTGTTGGGCAGATCAGCAGGGTTCTTCTCTTGTTGAGGCACTACCTCTTCTGGAGGAGCTTCCTCGGGTTCCTCAACAATGAAGCCAGCCATCTCATCATACTGAGATGATGAGTCGGTATCGGAGGAGACTTCCAAGGGTGCTTGAAGGCTATTTCCACGATACCTGTCTCCCTGTTCTTCTCTTATTTTCCTGGCGAGTTCTCTCTGTTTACGAGAATCTCCCCTTGTAAAAGGCTTTTTAGGGGCCATTTTTGAAAATGATGAGAAGAGTGAGATATATTCCCCTTTTATAGGTATAGTGTGAAGATAAATTGATGTGAAACCACCCACAACATTCAATGCTGCAATTAATGACCATATGTTTCTTCAACTGACCATTAATGTCGTAGAAGACTTTGAATGGATATTTTCAAGAATACCATGATTTCAAGGTTAGTGAGATAATTCCAATGTATGCAAATGTAACACCCCGTGTTACGGCCTTCAATCCCGAATTAATCATTTAATTAATTACGTTAATAATAATTAAAAAGGATTTAATTTGGTTAGGATTCCCTTTAATTAATTAATGTGGCCCACATGGGCTGTGGACCCTTGCCTAAACTAGAGTTTTAAGCCTATTAGGAATAAAGAGGGTAAACCTTTTACTAATCAGATTCTAATTAGGAATCCTAGACCTATATACCTATTAGGAATAAAGAAAGTAGGCCTTTATTATTCAGAGTATGATTAGGATTCCTGATTCTATAAATAGGGGATTAGAAAGCAATTAGAACCCACACCATAATAAATAGCACCACACAAGAATTCCCAAGAATTCCCCACCACCAAACGTAGGAGAAATCAAGAAAAAGAGATCGTAGAGAAAAGAGCCTTAATAGCCAATGGATCTAATTAAGGCTAAGAGGTAACCCATGTCTCAACAAAACCTATTTTCCTTGCTATAATTATCTTCTTTGGCCTCCCCTCTATATTCGTGTCTTGATGAATCGTTTATGATATTGATGATATGTTCTTGAGGATTGTGAGATAATTTCATGTGTGATCTTGATGATCTTAATGGTATTGAGAGGTTCTTGATGATTGTGTGATGTTCTTGATGAATCTTGATGTTTCTTGATATTAAAAGATGAGTTATGTTATTGTTAATTTAAATATGATTAGAGCCCTAGGATGTATCGTGAAATTCGTATGGTGTTATTCTTGTTGTATTGGGTGGGAATTCGCATGCTCGGGTGTTGTTTTGGTTTAGAAATTATGATAGGATACGTGCCGTACGATTCTTGCTTTTGATCCGTTAATTGTCTACGTGTTGTCATCAATTGCGTTTAAAGGTGTCTAAGCATGGTTTCGGGTTTCACAAAGGGTCCCGGGGCGCGTATTGTGAAAAAGAGTCAGTGGGGGGGTGGGGGTAGGGGACCCGCCACCCACCCACGGCTAGAAATAACGCCGCCGGCAGCAGGCAGGCGACTGCCCGCCGGGCACCCGCTGCCCGGATATTTGTCGCCGGCGGGCAGCCAGCGGATGACCCTTCACCCACCGGTTACCCGCTAGAAATTATCCCACCTTGGGATCCCGGCTTCCCCGTTTGATGTTCCCCCTACCCCCGTGGCGTCCCAACGAACTCCGTCTATCGTGCCTAAAGTCTAGTTTGATGTTTCGGGTACCATTCGTAGGATAAATGAGTCTTATATATATATATATATATATATATATATATATATATATATATATATATATATATATATATATATATATATATATATATATATATATATATATATATATATATATATATATATGTTGCATGCTAGTGGAATTGGTATCCCGTTGGCCTAGGTGAAAGAAGCATGAACCCCTTAAGATTATTCCTAGTATGTGGATGACCATGCATAGGTTTCGTTATACGATTTCTCCCCCTTCCCAATGTGTTAATGTGGGTTGCATGTGCTTGCTATGTGTTATGTGTGCATGTTACCCCAATTTGGTTGCGATCAAATTGGTTATTCCTGAGCTGCGGTTCAGAAGCTGGCTGCGGTCAGAATTACACTCTCGGGCTACGGTCCACCGTTTGGTTGCGATCAAACATTTTACATGAGCTGCGGTTCATATTCCTGGCTGCGGTCAGATGACTACTCTTGGGCTGCGGTCCACTGTTTGGTTGCGATCAAACATTATGAT